CGTGATTGGGTGAACTCGCGCGGCACGGTTGAATGCAGCGCGCTCTCCATCTCCTCGTCGATTCTCTGCTGCTCGATGTTTGTCAGGTATTGTCGTCGCGGTTCTTCTTCTATGTCCTTTCCGATTTCGAGCTCCATCTCGCCGATGATCTCCGCTTCCATGTCCTCGTTCTTGATGAGCTCTTTCTTGAGCGCTTGTTCAAGGGCTCGATGTTGGTAGTCGTGTTGTGTACTCTCTTCTGCGATAGTAGCATGTTGTTGGCGTAGTTCGTCGTAATATTGCATCCTGAGCTCATGTACCTGAAGTTGCTGCCGTTGTTCGTGTTGTCGCATTTCTTCTTGAATGCGCTGGTGGTAAGCTCTGTACTGCTCGTCGTGCTCGTCGTGGTTGCGCTTTGCAGCGTACTCTTCGTTGTTGACATATTGCTGTGATTGCTGTACCATTGCCTGTCAAGCAGTCTGCTCGTTTCTTACCCACTCGTGTGCTTGATGTTGTGCTCGATCTTTATCATTTTGTAGTACGCGTTCATGTTCTGCCATCTTGTGCGTTGACTCCCACGTTGCGGTCTGGGCGTCCTGCACAATGATCTTCGCATGGTTCAGGCGGTCGTCTGCTTGGACTATCTGTCGACGTAGTTGTTGTTGCTCCTGTTGCAACTGCTCTTGCTGCTGGTGGAGTGCTCGTTGGATCTGAAGCTGTTCTTCGCGTCTTGCTTGTATGTCCTTCTCATTTAGGTCGTGCTCTCTGGCAATACTGGACTGCATCTCCCCGAGTTTGATGAGCGCCTCCTGCATGTTCGCCTTGTGGTGATCATGTTCCTCTCTATATAGTTATCGTTGTTCCTCGAGCTTCTCTGTGTACTCGTTCTGCAACGTCCAGGCCATGTCCGCAAGCTGTTGTTCGTGATGTCTCTTATCCATGACCTTTTGTTTGATGCTTAGCTCGTCTTCGTTCTGCTTGCGCTTGGCCTCCATAGCAGCAGCTTTCGCTTCATGGAGTTCCCGTATTTCCTTTGTGATTTGCGTCGTGCTCTGTTGTTCGAGGAAAGAATCCTGTCTCTTCAGGGCCTTATTCGTGCTGTCCAGGTTCTTCGCGGCCATCTTCGTCCTGAGCTCCCTATACTCGTGCTTCATGGCCTTGATCTCGTCAGTATCCTTCGTGCTTCTCTTGCCGTCCTTGCGGATGTTGGCGTTGCGCTCGTTGTGGAAGAATTGAAGGTGGCGTTGATGTTGTGCGTACTCGTCTTGTTGCATGTCCAGGCGCTTGCGGAGTTCCTCGATCATCCTTGTGATAGATTGTCCATCGTCCACTTGGCTCCGTCGTACGTTCTGATCTTGACATCGTGGATGTGGTGTTTTCTCGCGGGTCTTCTTGTCGCCTCTAATGTCATCCGATGTGGCTTCTCCGTCTCTTTCGCAGCTTGAGTTTTCAGCTCTTGCTTCTAATCGTTCGTGAATGCCTCGCTGACCTTTTGCTTCCGTAATTAGAGCCTTGATCTTGGTTGCATCTACACCGGTCTTGTTCAGTTGGTCGTTATAATAATTAATTGTTCTGCGATCGCTCTCCTCTTCTTGTTGACCACCACGTCCAAGTCCTCCCTGTAGATATTGATCCTCTCATTCGGCTCGATGGTCAGATTGATCATACATTTGGTGATTTCCAATGCATCGATGAGTCGTTCTGCGTCCATTCCTGCCTGTCGAGCTCCAGCGAGCTGATCGGCAAGCCTTCCGAGCCTCGCCGCCTTGGTGTGCTTCCACATGCGGCGGAGCTCCGTCTCGTGAGGGGGGTAGGAGAAGGCTTCGTGGTTGACCACCCTCACCTCCGTACTCGGGATGAACTTGTCGATGATGTCCCGCTGCTTCTTTGTGTGAACGAGGTCCTGCATCTGGATCGCCTGTGTGTTGTCTGGCTGGCTATCTCTGCTGGGGTCGTGGCGCCTTATGGATGTGGATATGGTTTTCTTCTTCTTCTTCTTCTGGTTGTAGTTCTTCTGGTATGTGTTGTACTGGTTGTGGTTGTTGGATTGGTCGTGCCATTGTGGAGCTCACGCCGATGACCTCCCTCGTGATGGTCTTCTCCATGGCCATGGCTGTGCTCCAACGGGCGGTCCCACTGCCATCATGCTGTCTGTCAGGCCGACGGCGGGACTTGGGCCAGCGGTTGAGGACCTTGCTCCTGTCCTCCTTTCCGCTGATCCCCTTTGGTCCCGCCATCCTGTCCAACGACCCTGCTGCGCCATCGTGCGCTGCTGGTGGCGCTGGGGCTGCTGGTTGCGCTGGGGCTGCTGCTGCTGGGGCTGCTGCGCACTGTGGTGGCTGCTGAGGATGTGCGCAGCGTCCAGCACACGGAAGAGGGTCCTGGCGTTGGCCCTCTTCTCCCGCTGGCGGCTGTGCCAGGCGGGCTCGCCCTCTCGGGGCGTGGCGGCGCTGCGCCGCTGCGGCTGCGGCGCCGATGGCGCGCTGCGCGCGGCCACGAGCGGCGGGGGCGACCGACGAGACGACGGCCCCGCCCCTCCTCAGCCCGTGGCTGCTCCTCCTCCTCCTCCTCCTCCTCCTCCTCCTCCTCCTCCTCCTCCTCGTCTTCCTCGTCCTCCTCCTCCTCCTCCTCCTCCCTCCTCGCCTTGCCCTCCCCCACTTCTCCTTCCTACAGGTTTGAGCGTGTGTTGCGCGTTGATCCGGCCTCCCGCCGCCCTTTTGGCGGCGAGCGATGGGGGGAAGTGAGAAGCAGAAGGCCTTCTCACAGGGCGGCGGGACTTCTCAGAAGCCCTCGCGTCTTCTGAGAAGTGTCTCGTGTCTTCGGGGAAGGCGTAGGAAAGAGCCTTCTGAGAGAAGGCCTTCTCATTCTCACTTTCCCCCCTCGCTCGCCGCCGACCCTTCCTCCTTCCTTTCCCCATCTCTCGGATCCACGCTGGGCACCCCCCCCGGCGGCGCCTCCGGCGCCGCCCCTGGGGCGCTCTGCGCGCCGGGCAGGGGTGTTTTACCCAGATCCCAGAAATCCGCGCGGAGCGGCAAACAAATAGATGCTGATGCGGCTTTTCCTTCCTCTAACTCACAAGGAACAGTGATGCACCCCTCCCCGAAGGGGAAGAAGGTCCCTCTCCCTCCCGAGACCCCTGCCCACAATGAGTTTTAAAATCTCTCCCATCTCTGCTTCCTTCCTTCCCCCACCCCTCCTTCCTTCGATGCGATTCGATCTCGACGGATTCCGATTCGATCTCGACGGATTCCGATTCCGATTCGATGCGACTTCGGACTCCGATTCGGGATTTGATGTCTCAGTGGACTCCTACTAGCCTGCCGGTGTCCGCCGATTCGATTTTTCCCGACTCGGTTGCCGATGTCCGCCGATCCGATTCATTTCGATCGCCGATTCGACGTATCGATTCGATTCTGGACTCTCCTGCCATTGCTCCTCCCTCCTCTCGGCGGCGAGCGAAGGGGGGGAAGGGAGAAGGAGAAGGCCTTCTCAGAAGGTTCGGAAGTCCCCCCGGCCTTCAGATAAGTTGTTTTGTAGCCTTCCCCGAAGACAGACAAAAACTTCTCAGAAGGAGCGAGGGCTTCTGAAAAGTCCCGCCGCTTCCTGTGAAGGCCTTCTCCTTCTCATTTCCCCCCTCGCTGGCCGCCGATCCTCCTCCCCCACTCCCCGTACCTACGACGTTCTGATTTTCTCGCAGCGTGGACGTCCCAAAGCTAGGATCCCTGGACACGGGACCGTGTTTTCCCTTCTGTTGACGGTCCCGTTGCCCGGCGAGGGCCCCTGGAGCATGAGGGTCGCCCGAGCGATCGTTTCACAGTGCGGTCAGGCCAGGGTCTTCAGCCTTCCTCCCTCTTCTCCCCCTCTGCCCCCTGCGTTCATAGAACCGCGGCTGGGCAGTTTTTCGGTGGCGCTGGCGGCCCGGAAGCGGCACTGGCGCCCGCCTTGTCTTGTGCGTCGCGTCGTGGGGGGGAGCGATACATGGGGGGGCGGCAAGGGCTGCAGAAAAGGGGCCCTTCGGGGCCCCTGGAGGGGGCCTTTCAGACCCAAAGGGGGCCCTCAGGGTCCCGAAATGCGCACCTCTCTCCGCCCCCTCATGACTCACAGATAGGGTCGGAGTAGATGGGGTCGGAGGATCGTGCCGCATCGCCCATGCATCGGCGATGCGGCTCAACTCGGAACCCGACTTTCTTCACGCCCACGTCGCCGATGCATCGCCGACGTCGCGGGTGCATCGCCAATGCATCGGCGATGCATCGCCGATGCGGCGCGATCTTCTGGCCCCATCCACTCCGACCCCATCTGAGAGGCCTCTAATCCATCGCCCCCCATGAAGCGACGCTCAGAAGCCAGGCGAAGGCTGGCAAACCCGTGGCTGCTAAAACGGAGCTCCTGGAAATTGTTTTTTTCTTCCGGGAAGCAGCCCGTTTCTTATTTAGCGTTTTGAGCGCCATTCCGGGAATTTGTCTTGTGTGTTTCTTGGAAGACCGTCTTAGCAGGCCAGGATTTGCCAGCCCTCGCCCCGCTTCAGGGACGCCCAATTGTTACTCATCCCCAGGGGAGGAGACGGGGCGGAGTCCCGGCCTCACCTGGTTGGGGGCGGAGGTTTCCGCCGCGGAGGGGAGGGGGTCTCGAGCAGAGCAGGCCCTGCCCTCGACGTGCCCTGGGGCTGCCGCAGAGGAAACGGCACCTGACGAAAAGCCAGCCTCGGCGGAGCGCACGAGGTGGTCAGGGGAGGGAGGGGGGAAGGCTGCTCAGAAGCACCCCTGCTTCTCAAGAGGCCGGGGCCTCGTCCGTAGAGGTGAGAGTTCGAAGGCGCAGCAGAACGTAAGGTTACGTCGGGCTTGTCCCTCTACAGGAAGAATGTCAACACAAATAGTAAAAGACAGTCCAGGGACGATGTTTCTACTATTATCTGATATGTTTGAGCATGTTTTGGTTATCTTTGATATTTCTTCCAAAATCCGCCCGCATGAGGACATGCCCGACCTAAGCGTAAGGTTTCACGAGGCGGCGGGGCAGCGGGCTGGGGAGTGCCCGTAGTTGCCTCGGGGGCAGGGGATGGGGCGCCAGGGGCTCGAGGCAGCGCGGGCACGCGCGGAGCATTCGAGACGTGGCCGCCACCGTGCCGCGGGCACCTGGGTGGCGTGTCCTCGGTGCTGGTTGCCGTGAGCACCCCCTCCTCCTCCTCTCTCCTGCCTCCTGCCTCCTCCTCCTCCTCCTGCCTCCTCCTCCTCCTCCTCCTGCCTCCTCCTCCTCCTCCTCCTCCTCCTCCTCCTCCTCCTCCTCCTCCTCCTCCCTGGAAGGGCCCCCATGGCCCGCCGCGCGCGGGATTCTTGTTGGCCGCGCCTGGGGCTGCGCTCGCAGGGTGGCTCCAGGGCCTTCGGGGACGAAGGTTTCGGAGGCGGGGTCCCCGCCCGGGAGGGAAAGCCTCAGTTCTAGACGCTTCGCGTAACCCCGCCAGCCTCCCGTGTGCAATTTCGGCTCCTGCTTGTTAGCTGTAGCTTTGGACGGCGCGAGGCCCTTCCGTTTGTGCTCGCGGACAACAGAAAAACACCAGCACATCCAGAGCCGATGTCCATGCGAGTTTCCCTGACTACGCGCGACCGATACCCCCGCAAGCCGTCTAGCTCACTCCCACCCGCCTTCCCAACACATAAATAGCACCCGAGCCTGAGCATGTCTAGCGGCCGTCTTTGGAAGGAGAGCTACTGGGAACCAAAGCCGACCCCAGGTGCGCGACGCGTGGGAGTTGCGCCACGCGTACCAGGGGCGCCACGCGCGCCAGGCACCCCTGGGGCCCGAGTGTGCCAGACACGCCTGGTACACCAGATCTGCCACGTGCTCCGAGTGCGCCAAGTGTGCCGCACACTCCAGCCGCGCCAGGTGCGCCACGTTCGGGGCACGTGCAGACTGCTTCAGGTGCGCCAGCGCGCATGACAGCGCACATCGGGAAACATGCCAGCCTCCGCAATCCTTGTCGAAAACCATGCCCAGCATTGTGTCTGGTGGGCTGGCGCACAGCAGGCCACGTGCCACCAACCCCGCCGCCACTGTCAAAAACCACTTGACAGTGATCGCGGGATGGCCGCGCATGGTCCATGTTTAGCCGCGAGGTGCATGTTGTATTGTTCGTTGTCATGGATGGTAACCTTGCGCGCAGCAGTGAATATGCAGACACATCCGCCGTGCCTGTGGAAAAACAACAAAGTGTTCGCGGGCCTCATAAACATGATTCCAGATTTTGCCCCGACATGTACTTTACATTGTTTTTGTCAGGGATGGTGGGGGGGGCATCGGCTTGGCCGCGCATGCTCCCAAAGTGGAAGCAAAGTGCGGTTCGTATGTATTTTTTGACAGGGATGGCGGGGGGCGGGCCCGCACGGAATCGGCATGGTTCTGGGTTGGCCGCTGGCCGGGTAAGGAAAAGTGGTCAAGACATCCCCCCCCGCCCGCAAACCGTCCCGCTCGTTCCCACCCGCCCTCCCAACACATAAGTACCACCCGAACCGCAGCGTGTTCAGCGGTAGTCCTTGGATGGACAGCCAACGGGAACCAAAACAGACCCCATGTGCGCAACGTCGGGGTCAGGTGCGCCAGGCGTGCCACGCGCGATAGGTGCGCCAGGCACCCTGGTGGCCAAAGCGTGCCTGGCACGCCTGGTGCGCCAGATGCGCCACGTGCTCCGAGTGCGCCAGGTGTGCCGAACACTCCAGCCGCGCCAGGTGCCCCACGTTCGGGGCACGCGCAGAGTGTGCCAGGTGCGCCTGCGCACACGCGCCGGCCCCCACCACCCTTGTCGAAAACCAGTGCGCAATCGCGGCGGAGTGGCCATCATAGCGTCTAGTGGGCCTGCACATAGCAGGCAATACGCCAGCACCCCCGCCGCCCCAGTCAAAGACCAATGCACAGTGATTGCGGGGTGCCCGCGCATGGCAATTTTTTCTCCGCTGTGCATGTTGTATTGTTGCTTGACAGCGGTGCTGTCTCTGCGCGCAGCAGAAAGTGTGCGGGCATCCCCGCCGTCTTTTTGAAACAACAATGCAAAGTGCCCGCGGCCCCCCCGATCATGACCCAAGATGTTGCCCCAACCGGTCGCACAGGAGAGGGGGCGTTGAGTCCTAGGGGGCGGTGATACACGCCTCCCCGAAGGGGAAGAAGGGGGCTGGCAGAGGAACCGCTCCCAGTTGGGGAACGAAGAGTGGCAGAAACATCAAACTTCGGAGGTCCGCGCGGTTTTCTCGGATCGGCGCTGGACCCCCCCCCACGGCGCGCGGAGCGCGCCAGCGCCAGGGGAGGCGCCAGAGGCGCCGCCGGGGGGGCCCAGCGCCGAGCCGAGAAATCCGCGCGGACCTCCCAGTTTTGACGTTTATGCCATTTTTTGTTCCCTTACCTACTAAACCACTCCAACCCAACCCGAAGGCCTCGATTTGCCATCCATTTCCAGTGGGGGGGGGGTCGGGAAACATCGAGAAAACACGTATGGAACCCGTACCCCCCCCCACCCGAAATTCGGGTCTTCGGGTTGGGTTGGGGTGGTCTGGTAAGTAGTCCCCTACTGAGCCACTCGTGCCCGAGAGGGCTGGCTGGCTGGTGCTGCTTCGGGTGATGCTCACCCGAGGCCGCGAGGCGGACACGCTCTCGGGGAGCACCGGCGCACCGTGCGCACCGCGGCCGCGGCGTGCGGTCGTCACCACCATCGTCGAGGGCGCGAGGCGGGCATTCAGGAGGAAAAGAAACACACAGACACTATTAATCCTCGATTCCCCAGAAAATATGGGAAAATATCAGAAAATATGGGAAGTGGGGGGGAAGACAGAAACCCAGAAAATATTGGAAAATATGGGGAATCCTTTTATTTGTGTGTATTTATTTGTGTGTCCTGGGGCCCCTTCAGGCATCCGGTTAAGTCGGGCACGTCCCTCTACAGGAGGAATATTCAAAAATAGTCAAAAATATCATGGTGACTATTTTTAAAATAATTGTTTTGCCATTTTGGTGCATGTTTGGGGTATTTTTCATTCGTCCAAAATCCCCCTGTAGGGGGACAGGCCCGACTTAAGCATACGGTGAGCGGCTTGAATAAGGAACACTTGCTTTTCACAAGGGGCCCAGCCGTTCCTTCGGTTCGCATGCGTTATGTATGGTTCCTTATGTGTCATGTATTATTTATCGTTTCTTATGCGTTCTAGTGCTTGGTTCCTTACTGATCGTTCCTCAGGTCAGGCCGATGACTGTACGGCAGTTTCGCGTCTTGTCCACCGGCGACGACGCGCCGCGGGCGTTCAACGTTGAACGTTGCCAGCGGCCCTGACATTTCGGGAAAGGCCGATCGCTCAAGGCCGAACGATCCCCGCGGTGTCGGGAAGCAACGCCGGGGTCGACACGACACGGACCTGTCGTACTCAGCCACGCGCAGAGGGGGGTGGGGGGAGGGGGGAGGGCTTCATAGAAGCACCCATGCTTCTCAGAAGGCGCGGGCCTCATCCATATTTAGATGTAAGGCCGGCGCCTTCGAAGGAGCAGCTTCCTTCTAAGAAGCCCTCCCCCCACCTGGGAACGAGGAGGAGGAGGAGGAGGAGGAAGGCTAGGATCGGAGGAGGAGGAGGAGGAGGAGGAGGAGGAGGAGGGGGAGGAGGAGGAGGAGGAGGAGGAGGAGGGGGAAGAGGAGGAGGAGGAGTTCAGGGCTGAACGATCCCCGCGGCGTCGGGAAGCAACGCCGGGGTCGACACGGCACTGACCTGCCGTGCAATTGTTCAGGGAGCACCGGCGCGTTCTGGGCCCGTGGCGGCCGCGCGGGGTGCGCGAGGCGGGTAATTAGGGCGCTCGTATCTTTGAGTCTAACATCGAGTCGGGCCCGTCCCTCTACAAGAGGAGTATTCAAAAATAGTCAAAAATAGTCTGGGGACGATGTTTTGACTATTTTTGAGCATTTGGGAGGTATTTTTTGTATTTTTCATTTTTCGCCCAAAATCCCCCTGTAGGGAGACACGCCCGACTTCACATTAAGTCGGGTCGGGCCTGTCCCTCTCCGGGGGGAATCTTCAGAACTAGGCAAGAAATAGCTTGGGGCGATCTGTCGACCGTTTTTGACCATTTTGGGGGTATGTTTCGGTTACGCCTATTTCCTCGTCCGAGATCCGCCTGTAGGGTGACGTAGCCGACCTGAGTCTAACAACCTGGGCTTGCTGGGTGGGGAATTGGAGGAGGGAAGAGGAAGGAGGTGGTATGATTATCCAGTATTTGGTGTCGGAATCCAGGCCTCACAAATAACACCATGTGTCCTGAAGTCCCCCTGGGGCCCGTCTCGGTGTGGGGGCATTCTCGGCCGTATTAGAAACCCTTGAGGCCTGCCCATGAGGCCAACATCAGTGAACGAACTTGTTTGAACAGTTTTGACATTCTCGCAGCTTCGGTCTCACGAGCGCCCAGAACTGGCCAGCAGTCCTGTAAGATCGCCCAACAACGGCCCCAATCTCCCACAAGGGGCCCAAACAGCGGACTTCGACGAGGCAATTGTAGGCCATCGCAGGCGCCCGATCGGCCCCGAAGGTGGCCCCCGGAGACCGCCAGTAGACTCCCCGAGAAGCCGCCAAGAGGCCCCCAGAAGCTTTCAAGAGGCTTCAAACAGGTCCCCCAGGTAAGAGGCACGGTGGGGGGATGCACGATGGGCCGACGGCCACCAGGTCCGCCGTCTTCTCTGCTTGAAATGGTGTGCTTGGCGTGCAAGACTTGGCCCCTCCTGCCAAACCCACCAGCCACCCAGGCGGACCGCACAGTCAACAAACGATCGCCCCCCAGATGGCCAAGATGGCCCAAGTCGGCTGTCAAGACAGCACGAGACGGTCCAAGATGGCCTCCAAGACGACCCAACAGGGTCCAAGAGGCCTCCCAGCTCGCCCAAGCTGCCTTGAAGAGGGCCGAAGCTGGCCCGACGGTTCACCCGGCCTCTACCAGGCGCTCCAGCACGGTCCGAAGAAGCGGCAGCTTTTAGATTTGTTCTAATGTGTTGAATAGGTTTCGTGTTCTCGCCTTTTCAGGCTTCTGACAGCGGAAGACGGCCTCTTCGGGTTTCCAGGATAACCCCAACTCGGATCAAGATACTTCCAAGATTGTCATACAGCGCCCTGGAAGGGTGCCAAGACAGCCCGAACAGGGCCCAACAAAATTTCCGAAGACTTCGAACAGGACAAGTGAGCCCTAAGATGGCCCACTAGGTTCCTAAGAGGCCCCAGAATGCTTCCATGAGGCCCCAATGGCAAGATGGCCCCAAGAGTCCTCATCCTCCCCGCCATCCGTTCTTCTTCTTTTTTGTTCTCTCTCTCGCTCTCGCTCTCTCTCTTCCCCTCTCTTCCTCCCACGAGTGTTCCCCCAAGGGTTACAAGTTAACACAATGGCTGGGGAGGAACCGACTGGCTTGGCCAAGCTGTGGCCCCACGTTCGGCCACGTGGGCCTTTGCAAAATGCAGAGGGTGGCGGTGGTTCTACGTAAGTGGTTTCGAGCTTTTTCTCATCTATGTTGTCGTCTCTTTGTGCTAGTTGCATGGGCCCTCGACGCAGTAGCGTGTATGCGTATGTTCAGTATTTTTGTGTATTTTGGATGTCCAACGTGTATGCCGCATGCGTGTGCGAATTGTACGTAGCAGCCCGCAGATGCGGATAAGAGTGAGGGGGTGGTGGGGACGTCGGCAGTCTGCGAGACTCTGGAGAAGCCCGCTGCAGGCGCCAGGGTTTCACAAATTATACAACGAGCCCGCCGCAGGCGCCGATGTCTTCTTCAAACCAATGTGGATCGGTCGCGGGTGGGTCGCGGATGCCTCATGCGTGTGTGAATTGTATGTGTTTTCTAAGCGCGTGGGTTTTGCCTTTGTGGCTCACGTCCACTGCGCGTGTAAGTTGCGCATGCTCTGTCTACATGTGATTGTCGGCTACTCGTTGTGCCTGCCTTTTCGTGTCCTTCACCATCGATTCTAGCACGCCTTCTGCAAGTTGCGGCCGTCTCGCGTTTTCTTCTGCCGTGCTTCTGCTGCTCGTCGTCGTCGAATCGTGTAGTTATCCGGTAGTTTCATGTACTCTTGGGTTGGCCAGGCGTGACGTTGTGGTCTCCGCGACGTCATTGATTCAGGAGGGGAAAACACACACAGACACAACTAATCGTCGATCCCCAGGAACATATGCGAAAATATGGGACGTGGGGGGAAGACTAAAACTCAGAAAATTTGGGAAAATGAATGCTGGGATTTGTGTCTATTTGTTTTTGTGTGTGTCCCTGGGCCCCTGCATTGATGTATTGGAGCTTTGGGGGGGTGGGCGGCGAGCGAAGTTCGGGGGCAACGATCGGGTGGGGGATAGGCACATGGGGGGGAGCGCATCGACCACAAATCGCCCATGGATCGCCGAGAGTCGGTCACGCGCAGAGGGGGCGATTAGGAGGAGGAGAAGGAGGAGAAAGAGGAGGAAATGGGCTCCCCCCCTGGGAACCTTCCCCCCCTCGGCAGGAGGACCGGAGGAGGACAGGCTCTATCTCCATACATCAGAGTTCTCCGGCGAGAGCGACAGCACCGACACTCCTTATTTGCAGACTGCTCGTTCTTGATTTCCCGCGTGTCGTTCAACACGTAGACCAGGAAGGGACACTCAGCCACGCGCAAAGGGGGGTGGGGGCAGGGGGGAGGGCTTGATAGAAGCACCCCTGCTTCTTCCAAGGCGCGGGCTTTATCTATTAGATGTAAGGCCGTCGCCTTCTAAGAAGCAGTCTCCTTCTAAGAAGCATCCCCCCCTCCCTCCACCCCCTTGTGCGCGCCGCCAAGACAGGGGCCCGATAGCCCCAGTCTGCCCAGGAGGGTGCGGATTTACTGTCGGAGGCCCGTCGCCGATCTATCGGCAATGTTCGGGGGCGGACAGAACCCCCAACAGTGACACGTCGATTAGTGAATTGTCCGTTTTCGGTTCTCGAGAGGGCGCCGCGGCCGTTATTTTCCAGGCTTGCGCCCGCCAGGTTTGGGCCTCAGGTCGTTTTCACTAAACCACGTTTTACTAAAGGGGGTTCTGTCCATCCCCGAAATGTATGCTCATGATGTTCCAACCTACTTCAGCCTTGATCACCAGAAAGAAATTCCAGCACCAAGAAAGTACGGAAGCTGGAGGGTTTTCACGTGTCGGGCCTTGGGAGACACTCGCTCGAAATCGTTTCGACACTTTTCCGGGTGCTCGAAATCATTTCTGGGACGTGGTCCGTATGTACGATGGGAGCAACATAACCCTATGCCAGTCCCCCTCTGTCGTTGCCCCTCGGAAGCGATTACAACCAGAAGGTCGGGTTCGCTTCCGGCTCGTGTCTCGCGCGCATGCGGGGCTGGGCGAGGTTGCGCGAGAGCCAAGGTTTGGGCTGTCATTGTGCCAACATGGCAGAACGGAGCTCGTTCGGAAAACGACAGGATGGTCCCGGAGAATTTCGTTCTGGATTTCGAGGTGAAATTCGTGCGGATCTTTTTTTGCCAGGAATGAAGACCTAACGGAAATCCACGCGAGATTCGCTTCGTTATTCACTCGCCGTTTCGGTTTTTTTTGCATTGGCGCAAATTCATGCACACATTCGCTGCAGCACGTCTGCAAGGTCGGTGCAGTGAGGATGGCGTAGTCATCTAGGGCAGAGTCGTGCAACATACGCTTCTCCTCCGACGATCTGCGTGCAGATCTCCTTTCCAAAGGTTAAGTCGGACACGTCCCCTC